AATGAAATGAAAAATGAAAAGGTAATATAATTAAAAAACTAAAAATATATTTCTTAAATTGTTAACTTCATGTTTATGCGTTATTATGCGTTAAACTTTTTATTAAAAGTTTCATTTTGACTAACATATGTAGATATGTAGTTGAGTAAGAATCACGTTAAGACCCATGGCACGCGTCACGCCCATATCCGGCCGGCTGTTTCCGGTCCACGGTATGTACCGGATTCAAAACGTTGTCTGTCGGCAGAAAGATGAGAGTCGCGCGGATCTCCACGGGTAAATACGCGTGGACACGCCCGTCGCAATTACACGAGTGCCTGCAAGTATAATGAGCCGTGCGTTTCATTGTGATTTATACGGTGACCGTCTCGCACCGCGTCAGGAGGCCGCCTCTTTTATGCTCCTTAGAAATTGGCGAACGAAACTAGACATTTTTGTGGATCGTCATTAATTATTAGACTGTGTCATTTCAGACTTTTGTTAATAGCGTGGGATAATTAATAACGAGTAGACTACGAATTTTTATATCCAAAATAAAACATTTATCATGTTAAAGAATGGAATGTAGATTCTCAATTTTTCTATAAATGCATAAAATTCATAGACCATTAATAAATTAATTTTTTTAGTAAATTGCATTCCTTAAAAGGACCTCATGATGAGGAATAATATCACTACCTTAATCTGGCACTGGCATCAATTAATTGAAATAAGGGAAATGCGGATCGCAAACGGAACGGTCTCCATCCCGGGTCGATAAATCGGTCAGGGGCCCTAAACAACTCGTCAAAATCGTGACGCATGACCCACGCTACATGACAGGCGTCATGGGTATCGCGTGTTGCGACTCCGCTCCGCTCTAATACCATTCGGTTCCATGTATTATTCAATCAACCAATAAGGAAAACACGCCAGCCGGTGCCCGATCCTTGGCTCGGTTCGTGCTCGTGATACGCGTACCGGAGAGAGGAGGGTGCCGTCGAATGAACTCGCGATCGTGGAAAATTGTCCTCGACAGGGTCTGCCGAAGGTTAATCACACCGATTGAGCGGTTCAACGTTGACAGCTCGGCTGACAAGGAAAGAAATACCGTCGGGGCATCCAGAGTCCAAAGGCGTCAGTCTTTCTTCTTTTCATAGTAACATCTCTTCTTCCTTTTTCACAATTCGCGTTACCTATGTAAATTGCGCTTCTCAGATCTCTGGAGGTTGTGAATAATCGCTGATTAATCAGAATTTATTAAGAAAATAAATGGAAGCACGGATTTTTTTATTTTGCCTGTTAAAAAATGAAGTCTTTAATTATTTGTAGCTCTAGTATACTTTTTACATGGTGGGATCTTCCTCAGAATAGTAATAAATTCTCTAGCTGTGCAATACGCGCCAATAATTAGATCTGTACTATTACATTTGCATATCAGCTTAATCTCTTGGCCGTAATCGTAGTACATCATGAAGTATGATATCGAGCGTATAAACGAGAGAAGCTAAAAAGGCAGGAGCGATAACATCGTCAACTTGCGCGACAGCTAATCCAGCAACCAGGCTCTCTCCGAGCCGTGATGCGATTCATCGTTAGGAAGGAATCGCATTGTGAATGGCTCCGCCGTAATAACGAGCTCCTTACATCCAGATTACATGTGCGCTACGGTAAGGTGGCCTTGCCACGCTCGGCTTACAGCCGCTATAAAGCAATAAAAGTCGATTTGCCTGATGAATACCGGGGCACGGTGATGTATCGCTGCTTAGCGCCCACGTAACCAAGGAGCGCATCGACCGGCACGAGGTCTCGTTTTTATTTCATTTTTGATTGCCTTCGTACTCTACTACCCTGTGGCAAATAGTTTCTAATCAGGCTCAATAGTATAAATCTAATTTCTGTTTTACAGTTTTTAATTTATAAAAATTACATCTAATAATTTGGCGCATGTCTGCAACATTTAATGCATTATAATTACATCAAGTAATATTATTAATTGTCACGATAATTAACTGATTTTTTTATGTTAGAAATATAATTTTAGCAAAAAGTAATGAAAAATCCGGAAAATGATGATGTGTACTTATAAGCACATACATTCATATTCCATTCTTTGTATTATCTATAAACGGATAAAATCTGTAGTTTACTAATTTCGTTGGATACATATGATTGAAAGGATGATGCTAGGGGCAGTAGGTGTAGGTACGCATATCGCCAAGAGATGAGAGGACTGGCCAACAAGGCGTATTATCGAATCATCAGAACACTTGCGATCCACGATTATCTCGCTCGTCAATCTCGCCGACTTTCCGTCGACAAATTGATTACCCGCTGATTATTCCCCGAACCCCCGGGACGATCGCTTATTAGAACGCAGGAGCTAAATACGTAATACTCGAGAAATGGCAGAAAAGCTAAGAGACTGGGAAGGCCGGAAAGGACGCCGTGGTCTAAGTGGCGCTCTATTAATACGCGACGCCCCGCTTCGTTTTTCTCTCTTTCGCATCATGCTTGTTTGATATCGAGCAGAATTCTTGGTGCAATTTTAAGAGAGGTTTCTTTACGAGTTCCACTTCCTCTCGTCGTTTTTCTGTTTCTTCGCGCCTACTTGGAGGTTGTTAGACTCGGGTGGATGGGGTAATTAACCCTGCGTTACACGCGTCGCCGAGTATGAGTCCGCGAACTAGCTTTTTCTTTACCAGCTTAGGAAAACGAGTTCTAAACCTTCGGACTCAATATACTAACTACAGTCTCGTGTTAAGGAAATTGGTATCTATTTTTCAAACTGCATTTAACAGTAAATGTTTCGTGCGTGTGAATACAGGAAGGAATACAGGAACACAGGAAGAATAAATGAGATTGAAATAAAACGGGTTTAGTTAGCTATAAATTGATAATCGTATATTTATTTTACTCTTTTTTTGGTTTATGAAAGATCGAATATAAAATGGTAGAAAGACGTGTCAAAGACAGGACAAAATAAATATTTGCATTTTCTCGTTACGTGCTCGTTCCTTTCACCGCGTTTGTTCCTACGGATTGTTCTTTCATAATTTTGAACTCGTAGGAAGCGTCACCAGGAGTTTTCGAAGAACACGCAGTTCGATGTGTATCCTCCTCGCTCCTGCGCATTCTCTCCTTGAATTTTTGAAACTTGCTAAAGAGCATGTTGGGTTTCACGCAGGAACTCGTGGTGCAATGTAAGATTGTGCTTGGACATTTTCTGAGGTCGCAGTGGTAACCCATGACCCTCGTTGCGCCAATATTTCGGTAGATCTTTTTAATTTTCCTTATGGACTTTTTAGTTCTCTTCTATGAAATGAACAAAAATTATAATCATTAAAAGAGATGAATTTCGTATTTCCATCTTATACAAATGCATGAATTGAATTAAAAAAATGTGCAGAACTTATTTTATAAAAATGATTTCTCACTTTTATTTGATTCGAAAACTGTTGCAGCCTTTTTTTGCTCCTTTTTAACCTATTCGACCATTTATTCTTCCTCGACGTACAAACTGTCAGTTTGAAACTGAAACATCACTTTACCCAGCTTATAATGTTTAGAAATCGCCAATCAAGCAACGAAACAGGATTATGTACCTGGAGCTGTCCAAATCTCGGTTATATCCGGTGCAATGTTTCGAGCAACCGCGGCGAAAAAAGATCGGTTTATTAAATTTTATTTTGAACTCTCTCGAATTCGCCTGACACTGTTCCAAGTAAAGTGTCTGATCGACCTCTTCTGTGCTTGGTAATTGCTGGGTCCTCTCGGGAAGGCAAACAGGTTCATCGGTAGATCTCGATTGATACTCATTCATGTCGTACAAAGTGAAACCTGCCCGGTTTTGTTCGTATCTGATAACTGTCCTCCTTCCGATATTCTCTTTTTATTAACCGTCTGGCCTTTATCCGTTTCTTTATATGTATGTATATCGTCAATTCTGCCACTTTATTCACAAACTTGAGAATAATACAGTACCAATTGAATAATCAATCGGCAGCTGTTCAGCTACGTTGTTGATGATGCTTTCGTACTTTTCCTTTTCTTGCCGTGACTGGGTGAGGAACTTTGAATTAAAAATTTCTTTTAATCTATCTCGTACACTCGCAAATTTTTCTAATATTTCTTGCTCACTTAAATATCTTTATGTAATTCTAGTTCAGTAATCGGTCTCAGCGGATAGCATACTTTCAGAACTTGAAGTCGGCACTCGCAGTATTGCCCACTCGCGGAAAATTATTATAGTCTTAGTACCCATTCTCAGATCTTGCGTAGTAGAAGGTGCAGGACACCTTGCCACTATGATAATTTTATCATATTCCTTTGGACATTAAATATTAGTCGATCAAAACAATTCTCGAAGACACGTCATTTTCGATTAAGAAAAGTAAGCATATAGTTAATGAAGAAACCTTATCTGCCAAAGGAAAGGGAACATGTGTTACATAAATAAAAGAAAATGTTAATTCTCTAACCTCCTTTGTCTGTCTCGCTCTCATTCTTCTCCATGCCCTTTTCAATATTCTAAAGCTCTTTAAGAGCTTGCGGCACAAATTATCCAATGAGACACGTTGTCAGAAACGGGAGCATGTTGTGACAATGGAAGAGTATTAATGACTTACTGAAATTTATCTGATTAAAATGGTAACGGATCTTGCTTAATGACAGTGCGGTGGCACTGAAAACAGGCGAACGTCAATTTTCCCATTTATTTTTATTTATCTCGCCCCATCTGTTGCCATCTGTTGAATCTGTTTTTTTATTCTTGGCTTGCTATTCCTCGAAGCTGATCTTCTTTGAGTCAATGGCAAACTTTTTTCGATTATGCTCCTTATATCCTCCGATGGTCTCATTCTCTTGTACGGCATATCCTAAAGTTAATATATCAATAGTTTTTTTATAATTATATCGGGTAACAGAATTAAAACAGTCATTTAAATACATATTGATTTCTGCCTCTAATTGAAAAACATGTAAATTAAAGTATAAAAAAAAGTATATTAGTTTAGTTAATTCCAGTCTTATTCGTTCACACTTCAGGACGAAATAACTCTTTTAATATTGAACCAAAAAACTTAATTTTCTTTGACATCGTAGAAAATTTACTAGATAATGTGTAAAAAAATATTGCTATTGGTTGAAAGCGTAAAGAAAAAATATTAACTTTTAAGTCTTCTAACATCACAAAGAAAAGTCAGTTGTTTACTCGAATAATAAAAAAGTTATGAAATGTGTACGAATATAATCACAAGTAACCGTAGGAAGAATTTAAGACAGTACAGGTAGTAAATCCATCGAAGTGCTTATATCGGCTTGTATGATTGCTTTCTTTGCCATGTTCTCGCTGCCAAATGTAATTGACGGCCTTTCATCCTTTGACACATCCAGGGCACTCTTCGTGAACCAAGTATCTCCGGGTAATGGCGCTAAGATCGAAAGACAATTTTTTCACTTGCCCATGAATTTATTTATCTGTCGACGTTTTACCTAAACTTCTCGGTCTTGTCGTTCCAGGTTTCTCTTCGGATTTCGTTCCAGGTGTCTCTTCAGGTACATCTTCAGATACCCTTTCAGGTGATTTTTTATCTTTATCTTCCATTGACCCATTTTTGTCATCTAAATCATCTGTTTGATCGATTTTTGAGTCCTCTCTCGGAGTTCCTAAAGAACTTAGTCTGTGCATTTTGCAAGGTCTAGGGCAATGTTCTGGGCAAGGCTTAAGAGTTCTGGAGAATTATGATCGATAATGAGTTATGGAAAATACAGGGTGTTCCAGGTTTTAATGGACAAACTTGAGGAGCGTATCCTACATAAATAAGAACAAAATGTTATTTGAATTTTTCTCAGAGACGCTTTATTACAATGATATTAATCCGTTGCTTTAATTATTCAATAACTCTAACTTTATTTGCTTATAACTTTGTAATAAAGCGTCTCTGAGAAAAATTCAAATAACATTTTGTTCTTATTTTCGCATGTAGAATATGCTCCCCAAGGTTGTTCATTAAAACCCGGGACACCCTGTATATCCTGAAAATACGAGCTTTAGCGTATTTAATACTGACTTCACATAATCAGATTCTATGCTTCGAGTAGTATTAATAGAACAGTCTCTATATGATTTCGGAATTTCTTCGCCCTTATCCATATCCAGCTCCGTGTACAATCTCTTCTGACTGAGTGATTTACAATCCAAACTTGTCAAAGATTTCGATTTCAGCGGGGTTGAAGTCCTGCACTGCTAAAATCGCACGTTACATGTTTTTATCAACAGTTTATCGTCCACGATAAGTTCTGTACATCGATCACCTGTTCCTCTATCATTTTCAATGTGACCATAGTTCCATCCAAAAATCCGTGCAGATGTGGTAACTTCTGTTCGCAACAGGTGAACTCCCGCTGCTTGAAGAGTTCCCACCAACAATTTTCGTCGTCCAAAAACTTCTTCAACCTAGTCATCTCCATGATACATTTGTTCACTACCTCTTGAACGTTTCCCAGCTCCGTATGCGAGAGGTCTTGCGTTTGGGAGAGGACATTCTTTTTTCCAAGAATTTCCTGTTAAATTCGTTGTTAGGCCACGGATACGTTTAGAGAAAAAAGACCTGACGAATCGTTAAAACCGATCCTTTTACCGGACTGATTTGTCGTTGGGCGGTTTCCAAGTCTTGGATGCTTCTCTTCAGATATTGAATCTTGTTGAGCAGCCTTTGGGTGTTGCAAAGCGAGTAATGTACGTGCGACTTCGCGTACTTGCACTTCCTCAGACCGCACCATTCTACCGGAGAAGATGTGATCGCCGACGAATAACGACCACCCTCTGCGTGATTACCGATCGTGCCGGAAGTCGGAGAGGAAGCAGACGCGCAGCATCCTTGTTTTGATTCCTGCTAACGAGCAATCGGAATCGCTGCTAACTAAACGCGTCTCGATCGATCAAATTCAGAACAGGTTTTTTAAATAAATCTCTAATGGAGAGTAAATTTCTAACGAAAGAGAAACTAACTTATTACGTAATATAAAAGCGTATAAAGTGTTGATTAGGTTACGTACCATCCACATCGATGTCAACTCTGTTTATATGTAGAGAATATTGCCATCCGTTACGGGGGTGAAACGCGATTCCATTTCCGGCCTAATTTCATCCCGTCATTTTATTGTCCTGTTTATTCTGTGAAATAATGTTAGGCACTTCTAATAATTTTCATGATTTGTGCGATTAATGTAAATTTTGTATGTGCACATACGATGACGACGACGTCATCTGTTTTTGAATTTAATTCGCGCACGTGAAATCGAACCTCGCTGTCGATAATATCGATCCAATTGCTTTTCTCGTTTCGTTGCGCATAAGTTGATGGGATCCGTTTTACGGTGGAGCACCTTTTCACGTTTGGTTGAAAACACACAAAGAAGCTTGGTTGGAACGACTTTTAAACGGTTCGTTTAGCATAACACGAGTCTTTTCTGAAGAAATGGCTCGTAGACCCGCATAATTGCATTGCGACGAGAATCCCAAGTTCGTACCATCGGTTCACAATAATGAATCGTGACAAAAAGTCAACGAGATTGTCACCGTGGAAAATCAGAACGCTTTTTCCATTCGTTTGCGAGAGGGTACTGACCGCAAAATCACCAATGGCATCGGCTTTCTGGTGAACATTGTCGAAATTGGGTCAGTCGAGTGCGAAACAGGACTCGTGTCAATCGCTTATTCATAATTGTGTTAGAGTTTACGGACTATAGTATGTATTCTTTCTTTTCATCATGCTCATGAGAAATTCTATTCTAAATTTTCCTTAAAACTCTTTCAAGTAGTGATAGAAAAAGGCATTAAGAATTTTGGTATGAATATAATTTTATATGATTTTATAATGGAACACGTTGCTGGGGAGTCATAAATCTTCATTGCATCGATTGTTAAACTAAACACGTCCAAAATGAGACCCACCCTCGAAATTGGATCATTCAGTTGCAAAATAGACGAACGCGATGTCTGAAATGATTTTTCAGTGTCAGCCGTTTCGTCCCGTGCTAGTTTTCTAGCGTGAAAAGCGTGAAAACTGACTCCGTATCGGCTCCACGAATTTCCATTTGAAGCGATCCTTTAAGGTCTTCTCACGTTGCCACGAATTAGATGCGGGAATTTTTCGAGATTCTATTCATACCATTTAAGAATCCAGTCGAATTACAAACATTCCTAAATTTTCTAACGCTGACGAATCTAAAAGCTCTAAACATCTTTTCTTCGAAGAGTTAAATTATTCCTTGGGAAAAAATCTATTGGAATATATATTTTAAAGTCCATCTCTCTTTAACAAAAAAATTAATTTAATAATTCCACCAATTGCATTCTTCAAAGAAATTCTAATGTCTGATCTCAAATGCGTTTCAAAAAGTTCTCTCATTTTCTAAATTTCATCGTTTTAAAAAGAGAAGAGATTCAAAGAGATGCATTAAAAAATTAACTCGGAATTCTACCCCTTCGAAAAGTTCCGATTCGAAATTCCGCCCCTTTAAAGATTCAGCGAGCGTGCGTCGTCGTGCGCCTCGGCACCATAAATCTTAGCGGAGCGGATTGTTTGCAAACACGTTGCGTGATCCGAAAGTAGGAAGCGGAGATTCCAAGGGGGTTTCCAAGGAGCGGCACAGTGGTTGCTGGATGGCGCAGCCTTTAACTCCGGAGCTAGGTGTAATGCCTACAAGCTGAAATCGGCGGTGACCATAGAATTCGGCACGGAGTTAAAGCATCCGATCGTCGTAAGACCATTTGTCGCGATACGGGAGATCGGCGTGATCTTCCGGCAGGGTTGACAGGTACGAAACAGGTAAACGCGCTGCGGGTGCCTCTCTTGCCTCGTTTTCACGTCCACAACGAGGGTGCCAATGGGACAAAAGGCCGCGGGTTGACTCAAAGATCGACCGAAGCCAGCCACAAAGTCAAAATAAAGTAATTGTTTCCCCTTTGTCGTCGTCCTCCTACAACCGTACACCCACCGGCTCGTTCTCTACTCCCTTTCTTCACGTTTCTTACCGTTTTGGGGAACGTTCTATGGAATGCGAGAAAGTTTCCTCCTGTTGGTGTTGATGTTGATACGTATGACACCGCGCGTGGGTCGTCCCATGGCTGCATTCTTCTGATGTTTAATGATAAAAAATAACACCATGTGCAGTTTAACTGTTCATGCAATCTAATAACCGTGGGTATATTTTACAACACGAAAATTTTATATAAATGGAATGCAATGATTCAATATGTTACTCAGCATGTTACCTATTCTCTCATACATTTATGAAAGTATTGGGAAGACTCGAGCTATGTGTCAAAGATAATTTCCATGATTTTACAATGTGATTGCCAACGCGAAACGCGGTGTCCACGAATTTAAACGGTACTCGTCGCAGCGAGAGCGGAGCGCAGCGGCAAATATTTTTCACGTTTTCGTAGCGGCGCGATACGACGTACGCGCTACGTGTGGCGCGGTCGATGTCTCTGGATCAGCACGACTTGATCACCTTTTATGGGTTTCCCAGGACAAGATCCTGAGGACCGTCGTGAATCGAAATTGAGGACCTCCTACGGTCGGGGAGTCGCGTCCCTGTCTCCGTCTCGTCCCTTTCTCGTTCCCTTCGCGTCACCGCTCGTATATCGATCGCTTGGCGATTGTCAACGCCATTCCGTGATACGTGAAAACCTTGAGAAACGTCCGGACGTCGGTGTACCTTACCGCCGGAGATACCGACACCTTGGGTGGTCGCGTCACAACGAACACGATGTTTAAGTGAATAGATAAAAGTGCAATTCTAGCCGCGCGTACGCACGATCGGCACCGATTGTCTCGTCTGACGAAAGTAATACAACGTGACTCGAGACGATAATAGAAGAGTTATGAAGGATTAAAAGTGTTGCCTCACGGAAAATGTAGAGTTTCCTGCGGCATCGGTTTAATTCGCTTCGCCGTAGGTATTTTATGCACTCGTGCCGCATAGAATGTAGTATTAAAAATAGGTGATATAAAGCAGGAAGAAAATTCGTAAAGAGATGTCAGCTTTATTGAAGGGCTGATATCATTCTGATTCGTCGGAGAAATGAATTTTGCATTTTAGGGTTCAAATGTTCTTTGTACAGTTAATAATATGGGATCGCTTATCTTGAATATTGCATGTGAAAAATGAAATGAAAGGTGATTTTTAATTTCGTTGTAAAGAACTCCAAACGCGTTTTCCTCAAAATGGAACATCGACTTTACATCACACCAATTATAAAAAATGTATACCTTAAGACATGTATGGTAAATGCTTGGTAACAGATTACCTGTACATATTATAATTTTGCTAAAAAGAATTTGCATAAATGGCTTAAAATCTGAGGGATAACAGTGGTGTCTCTCGTTAAGGAGTTGCGTAATATAGGAAACAAATAACAGAGTCTAGAGTAAAAGAGTGTCGGTCGCGAGAAAAATGATCAGACGAGGGATTAATTCAATTAAACGTGACAGGGTAACTAATTTATGACACCGTCGCGCGTCGCGTCGCACGACATTAATTACACGAACGTATCACGAGGTTCACGCCGAGGCTCGTATGGAATCGTCAATAGGGCGGGTGTTTCTTGCGGATCGTTCGAAGGCCCGAGGAACGCATCCTGGGTGGCCGTGCCATAAAACGCGTTACGTTCTTAATATTATGCAGGACACGCAACTAAATATATATTAAAGCATTCCCAATTGTGCGCCGGTTAGTCGAGGGAAAAAAGGGGCCCGTGGCGAAGGAAAAATCGCGGTAGAATGCCGAAGAAGGATCGGAGGAATGCAACGCGGCCTTCTTTCTTGGGGCGTTCTCCACCGTCGCGTACCTCACTTGTTCTTACCGATTTCGTCCGAATAATCTCGTCTACATGAAAAGCAGCCGCGTCTGCCTAATTGCCAATCGCATTCATCCCTGGCGGGTTATTTGAAGAATTTAATAGCTTACTTTAAGTGAACTCGAGGTGCAGCTACGTGCACCTCCCGTTGCGATAACACGTTTTGTTTCCTTCATATTATTTGCTAGCCTCTATGAACGATCAGACTCTTGAAATCTGATCATGAAGACTCAACAGAAAATTAAGCATAAAATACAAAATGAATTCAAACTTCAATTTTAATATTTCTGCCTATTTTAGACATAATCGCACATGTATATGAGAACATATCATTAAAATGAAACGTGATAGACATCGATCAGATCCACACAGAGATCAATAGAGATACATTGTACACAGTCAAAAGATATAGCAGATTAGTTGAGGAATAAAGTGAAGTATTGAAATTTGGTATGATGTGGAAAGAAATCGAGGAAACAGGATTAGCTTCTCAATCCATTAACATCGGTGGCAACAGAAAGAGCGACTTTTTCACGTGGCCGTACAACGTGTATTGTGAAGTCAGGCCCACCCTGGATGCCGAAAGCTGTCGCAGTTTCGCGTTTTTCGGCTCGTTTCATCCTCGGTGCGTAGATCACCAGGTGTCGCTCTGTTTATACCGCAAACGTCCAAACAAGTCGGTCGGGATCCCCGGGGTCTATTAACTGCGGACCTTTCAAAAGATCTATACGATTCCAAGGGAAGAGAAGAAAAAAGGAGGGCGCGCTTCGTTGTATACCTGGATCCCAAGCAGATCCACAGAGATCCCGGCCATTGATGTCACCGCTACACAACCGGTAAATATCGTAAATAAGTCTCGAACACGATCCATCGTGTGTCTTTCCACGCGATTAACAAACAAATACAATCTGCTACAATTTCTTGCAACTGAAAAGCGAAATTCAATTCTGCAACTATTTATGGAATACGCTGCTAGTGGTAAAACCTTATGGTGACAATACACAGGGTGACCCACCATTGATAGTACAATCGTGGACCTGAGAAAATAAATCGAATATACAGGGTGTTTGCGAAATC